TCCCTCCGCCGCCGCACCCGGGGCCCTTGTATTATGGTAAACGAGACATCGGAGGCAGCCTGCCACTCACGGCCACCTTCCCCGGTCTCTTCCTCCCGCTTTTGTCGTTGTTCTACCCGTCTCCGCGGTGTCCTCCTCCTTCTCCTTCCCCGGCGAACTCCAGCTGTCCCCTATCTCTGATTCTCGGTCCCCGGTCCCGGACTCGGCGAGCCACCTCTTCGCGAATTTTTGGAGGGCTCGGCCTTCCGTTCCGGCTCATATTTTAACGCCGGGTTCCAGAAGCTGATTCTCTGGGTTACATGGAAATCCAGAAAACATTTGTTTCTTCACCGCGAAGCCTAACCTATGCTTAGCGAAGAATCTGAGAGAAGAGGTGGGCGGTTTTCTTAGAATAAACGCAAGAGGTATTCAATTTTTCAATTGAAAGTTGAACGAGATGGGAAAATAACGATAATGCAGTGTGTCTTGTTCGATGAATATTACGTTAATTATGCCTGGGAATAATGTAAAGGCACCCTAAATCAACAACTACATAGGTTATTCCATAATTATGTTAACACTCGGAAAGGGGTGATTCCTGAGACTATTTGAAGCAACTTTTTCCTTAGCGAAATTTCAAACCGAGGCTTCGTTTACGAGTTATCAACGAAAAACACTGACCAATGAGGGATCGCTGACGCGACCACTGCCGCCGTGTCAGACAGCCGACTCGACGCGGCATTGGCCGCGAGGGCGGAGCGCTGGCCGCGCTCGCTCTCCGATTGGTCCACGTTTTTCGTTGATAACTCGTAAACGAAGCTGCGGATCGCATTTTCGCTAAGGAAAAGGTTGCTTGAAATTACCTCAAGAATCATTCCTGTCCAGGTGTTAACACAATTATGGGACACCTTGTATAATTAACAACTGTATAAACTCCTCTTCCCGACTCGTTCATTTTTGTTTCCAAGCGGAGGGACAACGCGAGAGAAATTACCGTAGATCGGCAGCGTCTCGAGCCGATCGTTGCCAAGTCTCCGTCCTCCTCTCTCCTCTCGGCCGATTCTCCCTTTCCTGCTATCGCGTTTCCTGCCATTTCTTCTCCCTCCTCCGTGCACCCTCTTCTCCATCGACGACGGTCACGATCGGTTGGTCGCGTTCATTCGCTCCTGTCGCGCGACCGTGCACCCCGAGAGAGGTACCTCTAATGAAAGCCTTTTCTCCGACTGCCAGTTAACCCCCACACGCGACACCCGTCGCGGCGGGAGGCGAGGGGGGCAAGAAAGCTTGAGGATGACACGCGTGCAGCTCTCTCTCTCTCTCTTTCTATGGAAGCCGCGCGTTTCACCGGCCGAGACGCGGCCGCTCCCGTCCCCGTCGCGTCGTCGCGCGACGCTGTTTAATTGCATGTCGTCGAGGCTCTACCCTGGGCCCCCTGTCTGCACCAATGGTATCCCGTTCGCATGTGCCGGCGGACACCGTGAACTTGATATCCGACTGCAGTCGGCCGGGACACCCTCCTGTGGCTAACTCTGCCCGCGTTCCGATCACTGGAAATCGAGCAACAGGAGTCGAGGCGGCTCGGAATCCTCTCTGGCGGGCGGTTCGGTTCGATTAGGCGTGTTCCGACTGTCCCTAACGAACGAGAAACGAACGATCTTTCGAGTCCTTCTTCGGACCACGCGACACAGTGTTTGGACTAGCTCGTAATTAGGTTACCGATGCATGTTAGTGGATGGCCTTTGGGTAAAGTAACCGTTTCAAATTGTTATATACAGGGTGTTTCATAACTATGTTAATCCTTTCATGGGCATAATATAAATTTTCAAGGAGGCAGCATATTTCAACGGTGGGAATATTTGAGCCTGCTGGTCCATACGAGCACTAAAAGTGCGCGGGATGCTTCCCATTGCTTATGAAAGGGTTAACAGTCGGTAATGAGGGGTGCACGAGGCCATTTGAAGCAACTTTTGCCTTAGCGAAAATGCGATCCGCGGTTTCGTTTACGAGTTATCAACGAAAAACACTGATCAATGAGCGATCGCGAGCGGCTGACGCCCCGCCCTCGCGACCACTGCCGCTGCGCCATACGGCCGCCGCGTCGCGGTATTGGCCGCACGGGCGGAGTCCCGATCACGCTCGCTCTCCGATTGGTCCACGTTTTTCTTTAATAACTCGCGAACGAAGCGGCGGATCGCATTTTCGCTAAGGAAGAAGTTGCTTGAAATGACCTCAGGCATCCGGCATTTCCGGATTGTTAGACATTTTTGGAATATCCTGTATACAAGACGATTCGCTGAAGCTGTGACAAAGGAATATATCCCCGTCCATCGTTAACGATACTCAAAAATGCTAGAGGAACGCAGACTGTATGATTCGCAGGGGCATATGTTACAGCGGATATAATTTCTCATTAAAGGCCGTATGTCCCGAGACTTTTTCATGACATGTCACCGATGCTTTTTCAAGCGGGATTACATTGCTTCTATCATTATATCACGACAGCCAAGATCCAAAAGAAATCGAATGATCCGTAATGACTTTCCTATCTTCGCTTATGGGATACTTCTGCGAACATCGATCTGTTTTTGCTCTCCGCAAGAAGTCCGTTACATTATCGGTTACGTATCGATGATCCAGCAACGAGAACCCCGGAATTTCCCAGACTCTTCCCGGTTCAGGGTAAGCGTCACCAGGCGATCAGCGACGCATCCCAATTCCTCTTAAATTCAATCCGGGGTCCACCGATCATTACCGACACGTTTCCCGCTGCGCCGGCCAAGTGTCCCATTAATACACAGCGCGACTGCACGCTGACAAAAAGGCGCGGGTAGGGGCAGGAGGGCTGGAAGGGATCAAGATTTTCAGGTGGGCACGGTATACGCGGTGCCATTTGACGGCCCGTGTTCCTCCTCCTCCTCCCCCCTTCTCCGAGAAGGACGCTCTCCGGCGAGGATCTTGCTCCTTCCCGCGGTTCGTTTTCTCTCTCTTGCGCGCGCTCTCTCTCTCCCGCTTTCGCGCTCTGTCCCTTCCTCTCGCGTGGTCCCCGGCCCTCCTACTCCTTCTGCTTCTCTCTGGGCCCTCTGTCCCGCACGGTCCCGTTGCGGCCGTCTTCGTTCCGCCCGGCCGCGCGATCCGCACACGCCACTTCTTCTTCAGTGGCCGCTGGTACCACTCTCGGCTAGATCGCGCGAAGCACACCTCCTCTTCTTCTTCCTCCTCTTCTTCTTCCTCTTCTTCTTCTTCTTCTGCGTCACCACCACCGCCGCAACCACCACCATACCACCACCGCCGCAACCACCACCATACCACCACCACCACCACCACCACCACCATCAACCACCACCACCACCTACCATCGGTCCCGTCGTCGTCGTCTTCGTCGTCTTCGTCGCCGGCATCGGCTTCACCACTCGCCGGCGAACACCACGTCCACTCTCCGCCTCCTTTGCTATTCCACCAGCTCGATGAAGTAACGCGGGTCGCGCACGGCCCTTCCGGAACCCATGGGACACCCCGTCGAGCACCGGCGCGCCGATTAATTACCTCGAGGAATCAGTGTGCTCCGTTGTGCTACCAAACCGTGCCGCGTCGTCTGTCGGCCTCTCGTCGCGCTATTTCGACCGGCGAGGACGATCGCGTCGCGTGTGCTCGAGACTCTTCTAGGACACCCGGCTCGCTCGTCTAGGTCAGCCGAGCGAAGAATTCGCCGAAGAATTCACCGAAGAATTCACCGAAGAATTCACCGAAGAGGCCGGAATGTGTGCCCGTTCGATGCTCAACGATTCCGTCGGGTGCGCTTCGACTTCGCTGCAACGTGACGCGTAAACGCCTCTTCCGAAAGTGAGGACAGTCTCGCGGTGCTTTTCAACCCTTTACTTCGCTTACCCTTCAGTGACCGAATCAGTGTTCGGATCAGACCGATCGAAAGTGTCTCTATCGAATTGACGATCGTCGATTTCGCGCAACAATCGCGCGCGGATCGCCGTCGACGCGTCTAACGAAATATAACGCGCACTGGTCCCACCAAGCGCGATCGCCTCGTGGGCCCAGCCTTCCGGGCAGCCTCTCGGTGACGAAATCAGTGACGAAACCTAGTCAAGCGACGAAGAGACCTAAGAGCGTCGCTGTCCAACGATTTTCCTCGATTTCTCCGAGCTGCCTCGGCGACGGAGACGCGACGACGCGACGGGTGTTTAGGCTGTGAATTAGGTGCTCATCGGCGGACCAATCGGTGTCAGAAAGCGCCTGGAGCTGCGTCTGTTCCCGCGAAGATGGTCCCGGAGACACGCGGCCCCCGGAAGCACCGGAAGTCGGAAGGAAGCCGCTCGAGAGGCAGCTGCGATCCAGGCCTGGCCGAGGAGATCTGAACGTCGAACGGCGACGAGGATCAGGATGAAAAGTTCGCGCGGCGATCAGGCTCGGTAGCGAGAGAGAGGTTCCCAGGGTAATCCGAGGCGGGCACCCAAGATCGATCGCGTCGCCTCGCGTCGCGTCCTCCCGTCTCGTTTGCACGTGGTCACCTTGACACCGCGACGCCGCACACCTGATGCCGGGGGGGAGGGCGAGAGTGTCGGGAGATCGAGAGAAGCACGTGGGACCACGGCGCGCAGCTCGTTAACGTGTCCCCATCGTTCGTTAATTAGCGCCTCGTTAGCCGTAGTCCGACCGATTCATTTTTCTCCCGGCGCGCCTCTGTATGCAAACTGTGCTCCGCGGCCGAACTCGCTCGAGGACGTCGGCGATCGGGAACAATCGATTAGAGAAAGTCCGCCGGAATTCCAGCGGGATTCCAGAAACCGCTGATCTTCTCCTCGATCGTGTCGATCCCCGATCCCGGCCGCTCGCCGAGGCGTGGGCGGCGGGTGTACCGGCGCTCGGAGCTCGCGCGACGTGGGTGGCTCCCGCCGAACAGCGGCCCCTTTTTTCGTCCGAAGAGAGGGCTCTCTCTCTCTCTCTCTCTTTCTTTCTTGCTCACTCTCTCTCTCTCTCGCTCTCTCTCGTTCTCTCGCGCTTGTCACAGTGCGCGCGATCGGAGCAGCATGTGTTGAATTAACGCGAGTTCTTCCGCGGGACCGCGCGCCATCTCCGATTTGTCGCGCGTGCTTTTCTTCGCGCGACACGCTCGCCGGGACGCGGACGGATTAACGGTCCGGAACGCGGAAAAAACGCGCGGCTGTGTTTTGCCTCGACGAGCCGCGAGATCTGTCTCGACGGGCCGCGAGATCTGCCTCGACGGGCCGCGAGATCTGCCTCGTCGAGCTATCTATCCGTGTCGCTGAATAGTACGAAGATCTTCTGATCGTCCTTGGATCATCACCTGTCGCCTTCGACCGCGAACACGCCCGGGGGTTGGGCGCCCGTTGCCCCGGCTCGGTCGCCTGTGAAGTTCGGTGCCGCGCGACCTCGGTGATTTCGATGACCGCGCAGGACGCGTCGACTCCCAAGCGTCTCTCCCAGTGACCGACTTTGGATTAGTGACTCGCCCGATGGATACGGTTTTGGACACGCTGCCGACCCCTTGAAGGTGAGAGAACGAGGTTCTACCTTGGATTTATGACATTTTCGTAGCGGATGAGAACGTTTTTCGGTCGATTTTTAAGCTTCGCGGGGAACGTTCCTGCGGATCGATCGGGTAAGGAGAGGCGCGGGTGTGCGTGGTTGTAGTTTTAGGATGTTATTTTTACTGTAATGGAGCGGTAAATGTTCCGGCAGTTTCGTTTGTTTCGACGTGTGTACCGATGTTTGAACTTTAAACTTTAAACTTTATTTCTTGGAGTCGAGGGAAATACGTCGAAACCAGATATACGCCTGGCACCGAGGGACAAACTTGGTGCCAGACAGGACAAACAATGAGCTAGTTGATTAATAATTAATAGATTAATTTGGTTAGTTGATTTGATTGGTTGAGGTAAGGTAAGATATATATATATATATATATATATATAACTCGGTTGAGTACTTAATTGAAATATTCAGTGAATCGTGGACTGAATTGCTCATTAGATTGTTGTCGGAATCATTGGTTGAATTGCTGACTGAATCATTAGCGTAGACCTCGTTTGAATTGTTCGTTGAATTCTTGATTGAATTGCTGATCGAATTATCGGTTGAAAAGCATTTGATAAGGTATAGAAATCGCAGCATCTAGAACAACTTGTTTATCGATTTCTGAAAAATCCGATCAATCTGAAAAATTGAAGCGTATGAGGAATTGAAAAATGGAAATGAATTATTATCAATTATAATTATTAATAATAATAATTATTATTATTATATTAATAATAATATAATTATATATAATATAATTACATTATATTATAAATATAATATTATATTATAATTACATTATATTATTAAATATAATTATTAATATTATCAATTATCAATTATAAATTAAATATTACTAATAATAAATTAAATTATGAACTAAATTAATATACCCTTTATATTATTATTACGATTATACGGATTACGAAATATACAATGTACATATACAGTGATTTACTTCGAAAATACATAGTGCAATAGATCATGCACAATTATCGATGAACAGAGAACAATGTAAAGAATCGAAGATTTTAAAATGTAGGACACCGAGGCGTAGAGAGAGAAAAAAAAGGAAAATAGGTCTGTGGGAAAAGTCGATGGCGAGAGGAGAGGGAGAACGGCACCCCTGCGGGAGTAGCGGGCGCAAAAGGCCGGCGATTACTCGGAACGCCTTCGATTTGCATGGGACAACTGTTTACGATTTGATCGGTGCTTTAATTCGAAAATTATACGTTTAATCGACGGCACAGGTAGCGCGGATATATAGTCGTACACTCGAGTGTCCCCAGGCCGGAGTAAATATTCATTAGGCGGGGGCCACTTCTCCCCGTCTTTCCATCCCGTTCCCCTTGCGTCCTGTTCTTTCTCACTCACTCTCTCTCTCTCACTCTTTTTCGCTCTTTCTTTCTCTCTCAATACACATCTCTCTATCCGTCTCCGATTTGCATATCACAATCAACGTCATATCATTGTTGACTTTGAGCAGCCCGGCGAGCACCGGTACGGTCGTCGTCGGACCGGTGCGCGTCGTCCGTGCATTCGTTCCCCTGTCTCTGAAACGCTGCACGCCGCGTTCCTTCTTTCTTATCGGGATGCACGCGTGCAGGCCGTGGCGCGCGGTTTCTTCCTCGCGCCTCCGCAAACATCCTCCTCGAGTGTGTGTTCTCGAGCAACGGCCTCTCTCTCCCTTTCTGTTTCTCTTTCTCTCTCTCGCTCTCTCTCTCTCTCTCTCTCTAGCTCTGATTCTCTCTCTCTCTCTCTCTCTCTCTCTCTTGCTCTGAGTCTCTCTCTCGCTCTGAGTTCATCTCTCTCGCTCTGATTCTCTCTCTCCCCCTCTCTCTCTCTCTCTCGCTCTGATTCTCTCTCGCACTAGCCATCTCGCGCTCTCTCTCTTGGGCGCTCTCTCTTGCGTTCTCTCTCTCGCGCTCTGTTTTTCGCGCTCTCTCTCTCTCTCTCACTCTCACGCCCTCTCTCTCGCGCTCTCTTTCTCTCGCGCTCCCTCTCTCGCGCTCCCTCTCTCGCGCTCTCTCTCTCGCGCTATCTCTTTCTCTCGCGCTCTGTTTCTCTCGTTCTCTTTCGCACTCTTTCTCACGTTCTCCTTCTCTTCCTCTTCTCTCTCTCTCTCTCTCTCTCTCTCT